ACATGTGTCCGACAAATCAAAAGAGGGCATTTTTCGCGTAGAAACAAGTGTCGGCACAGAAAGATGTGGAGCGTGTCTTCGGAGTCATCCAATCGCGGTGGGCAATAGTGAAAGGCTCCACATGCCTGTGGTGCCGATCGTTCATCTCTGATATTATGTTTACATGTATTATACTGCATAACATTATAGTTGAAGACGAGAGAGCCAACATCATTCATTTTACAGATGAGGGGGTTGCATCCACTCCCAGAGTCTCCGTCCGCCAAGGTCTAGCGACTGAAAGGCCACCTCCTAGTTTACAAGATTTTTCAAATCGGCGTGCAAGTATGCGCGGTTAACAAAGCCATGCTACCCTCATGATTTGATCGAAGAAATTTAGAGGCGCAACAATACTTAAATATAGCATTAATTTTTGTTTTTTTAAAATATAATTATATTTCGATGTATTTCGTATTTTATTTTGATATTTTTTAATAAAGAGTGTCAATCTTAGCATTTTTATTTTAACTATACTTGTATGTATTTTGTTTTTTTATAAAAATTTAGAATTAAAAAGGATGAATAATGAAAAAAATTAGAGAGACATGTTTTCAAATTGATATTATTGTAAAATTTTGAGACAAAGCTGAAAATTAGTGAAATACTGATGTGAGAGGAGTGGGGGCGGTGCGAGAATTTCCCCTTGTAAATGCTCTTGTGCCCAAAAAAAACTGGAATGCCCCGACCCGACCATGCCCACCCCCTTACCCATCAGATTCCGTTTCATTTTCACCAGTATCTGATTGCTTTTTCAACTTTCCGTCCGGCGGACTTAGCAATTGGTCAGTAAAATCGATCCTTAAATTGCTGTTATGAATCTTGAACAGATCTTCTTGCGGTAGGCCATCCGCATTCTCGATCTTGTCGCGCATCTTTGTTTGTATTGCACTGATCCTATTTTTCAATGGGTTTTCTTTATTGATCCATCTTCTTGCGTTTCTTGATTCTTCCGATTTGCAGGGTTGTCGCACTTGAACTCAATGATAGATCCGTGAAATCATGAGACGGGTTCCTCAATTGACAGGTTTTTTCAAATCCTGCCAGGATCATTTAGGTTTTTTTCCTAATTCTCAGGAAATAATTGTTGTTCAGTGATGAAACACATTTGAATGAGTGTGGTGGAGTGCAACAAGAATCTTGATTGTGCACTTAGTGGGTGGTGTTCTTAGAGGAGGCTATGGAGTGTCTTCCTGTTGAGGTAATTGGGAATATTTTGTCTCGGCTTGGGGCGGCAAGAGATGTTGTGATTGCCTCTGCAACTTGCAGGAAATGGAGGATTGCCTGGAGGAACCATGTCCACACACTTGAGTTCAACTCGAATGACTGGCCTGTGTATCATGATCTCTCCAGGAGTAGACTTGAGATTATCATAACAGAGACGATTTTACAGACCACTGGACTGGAGGGACTTTCCATTGTCATGGACAATGTTGACGAATTCTCTGCTTCTCCGGTGATTGCTTGGTTGATGTACACCAGAGAAACCCTTCGCCGGCTCCATTTCAATGTCAAGACGACACCCATCATAAACATACTTGAGAAATGTGGCCACCAGAAGCTGGAAGTACTCATGCTCGCACACAACACCATAATCGGCGTTGAGCCCAGCTATCAAAAGTTCCCTTGTTTGAGGTCTCTTTCCCTGAGCCACATTGGCATATCTGCTTTGGATTTGGGCTACTTGCTCACCATCTGCCCTAAAATTGAGGTCTTGAATCTTGTCAGCTTGGACATTGTCATGTCAGACCCACAGGCAACCATGGAATTGAGCAGCAACTCCCTGAGTGAGATCTACATTGAGGCCATCAACCTGGACAAGATTGTTTTGGAGGCTGATGGGTTGGAAAAGTTGCACCTGAAAGACTGCACACTCGAGTTCTTCGATCTTGTCAGCAAGGGAGGACTGAGATTCCTCAAGATTTATGATGTCAGCGTCATCCATCTTGACATCGGCGAGAGCACCGAGAATCTTGACACTGTGGATGTCAGCAACTTCACCATCATGTGGTCCAAGTTCCACCACATGATCTCAAAGTCGTCCAAACTGAGGAGGCTTCGCCTGTGGGAAGTGGTGTTCGACGATGAGGACGAGGTTGTTGATATCGAGGCAATCTCTTCTTGCTTCCCGCAGTTAACCCATCTGTCATTGAACTATGAACTGAGGGAAGCAGCCCTTCAGTATGGCTTGCAAGGTTCGTTCCAGTTGGAAAACGTGGCTGCTTTGGAGCTCGGTTGGACTGTGATTAATGACCTCTTCTCGGACTGGGTGGCTGGGCTTGTAGAGAGGTGCCCTAACCTCAAGAAGCTAGTCATTTTCGGGGTCGTCTCTGAGACGAAAACCCCTGAAGAGTGCCATACACTGGCTAACTTCACATCCTTCATTGTAAGGCTCATGAGGAAGTATCTACATGTTGAGGTTCAGTTCGAATACGAGTAAGAATGAAGGTATATATGGTTGATTGTGATTCTTTGGTGTTGAGAAATTGTAAATCATATTTTTTTTTGTTTAAGTTCAAGTTCAGACAATGTATTCAATTCTTAATATCCCCCTTTTTTTCATTCTTGGTTGGGTATAATCACAAAACTTCTCGGTATCTTTGGGTGATTTTCAATATACTTCCACCATCACCTTTTTATTTTGAAAACCACACATTCTATGAGTAATTACAAGAGAAATGTTCACACTTGGTTTGATCCCTCAAACGAACTCTACTGGGAATTGTCTGTTTTTTCAACACCACTATGGCATTGTTGACGGCGACAATAATTAAGTGTTGCTGGTAATGCAGCGGTGGATCCAAGAATTCGGATAGTTGGGATCACAACCAATGCCGGGTTTAGGGCAGTGCCCCCGGATTTTTTTTAAATGAACTATGTGAAATTTTATTTTTGAACCAATTAATTATATCTAATAGAATACACTTAAAAAATTAAACAAAAAAATTAAAAAATAGCCATAATAGAGATGGGCCAATAAATAGTTTACTAAACCATCATACAAGATCCATTCACATGATTCTTGATTATCCATAGTGTACACATGATTCTTGATTATCCATAGTGTACACATTGTAGAGTTAGAGTAATTTTTTTTCTCTTCATCTTTTAAAGATTGGGAATAGTCAAAGAAATCCTTGGTGAGTGGTAAAAGTTAGTTTTTGCAAAGTCCTCATTGGAATGAGTCAAAGGACATGTTTGGAAATTAGCGATTGGGTGTTAGTGTTAGATGATAAAGTTAGCTATTTTAAACGATTGGTTGTGTTAGTTGTTAAAGAAATAATGTTTGGCAAACATAGTTGTGAACAAGAGCTGTTCGTAGAGGAAATTACCTTTGAGGACAAGCTCCTTTGCCTATGAATTTACCTTTTTTAATTGGATAAAAGCAAACATCATCTTTTTTTTTGAAAGGCCGCTGATATTAAAATAAACTTTATCTATTCCAAATTAAAATTTCTGCCTACTATTCATGAATTCAAACTTTATTCATATTTTTTTTACCTATTTTTGTTAATCGTTTGATAAAATAATATAATTATGTCATCTTTTAATCTGAAGAGTTATTCATGTGGTTTGTGAATACATAAATTTTATTTTTCAACTTATCCCCAATTTTCATATAAAGTATTGAAAATAACTTTGATGTTTGAAAGCCTACGTAATATCCCAATTTATCACATTTTTTTACACAGATACGTAATACTCCCTTCAAACACCTATACATTGGCCGTTTGAGTCCAAAAGCCAACTGTAAAAATCTTATTCCAAACACCCTATACATTCACAGTTTGAGAAGTCAAAAGAGCTGAGGTGGTCAAACAGCTAATAAACAGTTGATTAGCCATTTTCCAAACATAGCCAAAGATAACCCATCGCTAAATCTTCACAAGCAATTGAAGACAGTGGTCACAAAATCTTTTGTTCAAACAACTGAAGATAGTTCATGCAAAATCTTCACAAGCAAGTGTTTCTATGTGCTAATGCTTAATGACTAGTTGCTGATAAAAAATTTTTGACTTTTAAGCTATTTATAAGTTAAATATTCTTTTGTGAATGTAAAATGACTTAAATGATAAATAAACCATTTTAAAATATTAATAAGTGATGAGGAATATTTCTATAAATAATCTGGGGCAAGGCCAAAGCTGAGGTGAAAAGCAATGAGAAACACCCTCAACACGAGGACGAAACATCTACCGGCAAATCCCTACATTTTAATTATCATAATACCAAAACAAATGTACTTATCTGAAGAGAAAGATGCTGAACTGAACTAGAGTCAATTATGTCGAAGTCGATTGAACAAGAAATCAGTCAAAATGAACGGCCTCTTCTAATGTGAAAACTAGAAAACAAATTGTAATATCACATTATCTTTCACTCATTACCAAGCAGTGGATAATGGGGTGATAATGTACAACTTCTAAAATGGGTGGGGAGGGGGGGGGGG